GTGACCCGAGACATCTCTGGACTGAAGGGTCGGTGCCACGGTATTCTACAGCCCTTCGGTGCCAGAGGTCATCCGACCTCTCTGACCTTCGGATCCACCAACAGGGTGTCTGAAAATGGGTGAAGTAGACACACAGAAAGCGTCTGATGTGGTTTTTGATAATAATCAACTTCATAGCTTAACGCAAACCAAATTCTTTTACATCCAGAACTCAGCTCTCCTAGATAAGGAAGTTCTGACTAACATCGCATTCACACACAGGTTCATACATCACATCTAGTTCCATCCATCACAGTAAATGCTTAGTTAACCTGTCATAATTGTTGGTAAAATAAACGGTTTTGTCTGACTGTTTTCTGAATCAGAATGAAGTGTGTACAATCCCCTAATAAATAAAGAATCCTAGAATCTTCTGATTAAAGCACAATAAAGACTAGGCAGGGTGATATTCTATATTTAGAGTGTTACAGCTTATTGGTCATAAGTAGAGGTAATTATATATATATATATATATATATATATATATATATATATATATATATATATATATATATATAGCTCTTAAAGCACTCAATTGACCAAACCCTACAACACACAGCTTTAAGAGACAATCCCACCCGTGGGCATGCTTCCTCTGTCTCCTTTGACATGTGCAGCCATAATGAAGACAAAGTGCATGCAGCACAGCGACAAATATCAGGATATAAATAAAATGAAGTAACCAAACCAGATGAAAGACCGTTCATAATTGGGTTAGTAATGTCTCTGGCACCGTCTGCTTGGTCATTTCCGCTAATGTCCCAGAGCAACGAGGGATCTCACGGGCGACGCTCAGACCAGGAGGACTCTCGCCGCCTTATGACAGGCTGCCTTCTACGTTCTTTCACCGTCATCAGCACCGATTCTGATGCAAGGGAGCTCAGGGTTGTCGTCAGATGTGATGCGCGCAGCTCCTTCACAAACCTTTTAATGATTTGTGACCCGTTTGTGGACAGCAAAATTGTGAACTCATGCACCCATAACTTCTCACTTAATCTGTATTACTCTCATCACAACAGAGCAAGCCACTCTATCAGTAAATGCTAATCTCCTAATTAACAAGCTAATTAGGCAATTACTGCTTTGCAGAAGGATGCCTAAATGAAATATGACAACACAGTCACTTTCTACAGCACCTGTGGGTCTTTTCAGATGTCACAATGAGAAGCATGATGACAAAGTGTCGTCTCCACACTCATAGGTGCTTATTCCTTTGCCTCAGTTATCTCAGTTGTAAAAATATTTTCATTTCATTTAACCAGCCGGGTAACAAGAAGTCCAATCAAACATCAGATGTTTCATAATTTTATGACCTTTTTTTTTTCTTTCGTCACTGTTCTAATTTTCAAAATAAAGCCGTGGTTACAGAAGTGCGACCTCCTGGTTATGTAAACACAGCTTTGTGAACCCCTTCTCTTGCCACGTCTTTCTGTAAGGAGCTGTCACATACGGAAATGAATTATGTTGACATATGGCTGAAAACAACAGTGAATAGGCCTGCAATGAAGAATCATGCACTGCAAGAGAGGAGAGGAGCCGGAGCTATACCTTTGAGCCCTCTTTGACAGGTATGCAGTGTGACTTGACAGCTCAGTATTTCAATGATAAATGCAGTAGTCCTGGGACTCCTATTCACTAAACTCCAGAGTATGTTGCTCCCATACGTCAAGGTCAAACGAAGGAGCAGAAGCAAGCAAGGCCTTAAGTCAATCTGTGGTTTGGATCATTCTTTCTACATATGGAAAACAATAGTGTGCAAATGTTCACTTAAAAATAAAGGAAAACTGTGAGACTTTTCACTATTGGAAACTTCCTCCAGTTTAAAGCCAAGTTGTTATGAATGTGTTAACGAATTCATTGACATGATTCTCATGTTTTGTGGGTTTTACTTTACATTTTTTTGGATACTCGCAAAATATATTTTATTCTGCATGTTTAATAGTTTTGTTTTAAGTACCTTAATGCCAGATTCCAGTTTTTAAGTAATAATTTACCTTGCCATTTACTTATAGTAAGATATATTTATTTATGTACGTATACAAATGTAAATTCTTGTATTTTTAGTGCTTTTTTCTGGCTTTTATTTCATTTAGTTTTCTATTAAATCTTCATTCCTCTTCTGTTGCATGTTTAATTTAAGTCTAGATTTGACTTTTTCAATGACTTTCCATTAGACTCCATTCTACCAATAGAGATGAAACAAATTCAGATTCTGCCTCACCATGAAGATCAATGAGTTCTCACATGATCTCACTCTCTGTAAACATGTTTGACTCCTCTGGTTTCTGCTCCAGTGAGATAACAGCAGGTCAAAGTTAACCTCTTTACAACACTGTGTCGTACCTTTGTAATTAACATGGCTGCATATCTGGATGAATCAGTTCTTATTCCTACAGATGAGTCTCTTATGAATATGAAGTTTATTTTTGCATAAGACTACAGAAAGTATTACAGTGGTACTAACCACTCAGTGTGTTTACATGCACATCAGAAAACTGAACTATTGCCCTAAATAGACTGATGCTGTTTTCCTAAATGCATGTATACGCGTTAGTCTAGCTGAAGGTGAACTGGTGCTAATTGAGCTGAAGCAACCAGATAATGTGGTAGGAAACCCACTCATCTGCATGTAAATGGCTCCGTTATTTCCAGACCTGACAAGACCGTGGAAGAGGTCCACTGATAAGATCATAGCCACAAAGTTAAAGAAACAGCACAGTATGCATCAAATAAGCTGTGCTGTATCGTTGTCCATTTCTTCCTCCATTTAGCATATCTCATCTGCTTCACCCCCACCAGCGTTTGTTTACTATTTGTGTTGCTATAAGCTAACTGGAGGAATGCCAACATGAAAGGGTGCATGTCGCCACCTACTGTACCGGAGTACAAACACATTTTATTTAAGAGTTTGGTTTTCTAAAGTACATGAGCACTATAAAGGCTCCCAGTTTATTAATTTAAAGGTATGACCCGACTGGGATTCGAACCCTGATCTCCCAGCAGGGCGACTGAGCTGGTGATCGACCTAGATCAACTTAAATGTGCATGCAAACACATTGATTAACACTCATAGCAATAATTTGATCTTTTCTAATCACCCACTAATTTTAATCAACTCCTTATTATGAAAAAGGCAATAAAATCAAATAACGGCTAACTAAGTCCTTTTAACACATTTGTCTGAACGTCATGAAGAGATAGAGCAAGCATATATCCTATTAGAGCAGTCCCATACTTGGTGAGTGCTATTTATTTTTCTTTACAATAAAAAGATACTTAAATGTTTCTGCATTTTTCTATTCAGACATATTTGAAATTATTTTAACATCTCAAAATAAAAAGAAGCAAACAATAATTTCCTTTCAGCAGTGTAATAAAAAAAACTGAAGTTCTGATTACTCAAAGTGCAAGATTGCATTTTTTTTAGAGTGGAAACGAATAAACAAACAACATCCTTGCCTGTTAAAAATATGCTGTGTGCACACCAACAAGCAAAAACATTTTGAGAGAAAATTAAAAGTTTCCATTGTGGCTGCAAAAAAACTCCACAGTGCCTCAGAATAAACTTCACTCTACGAGGATCAAGTTCTTCTGGACTGTCTTTCCTTTTTGACAAGCGCGAATCACTTCAGGATGATATAACAGACATCCCAAATTAAAAACAGACATCATGGGGGAAGGTTAGAAAAAGGACTTAGCTGATCACTGCCTTTTTCTTCATGTTTTTGTCTTGACCCTGAAAATAAAGGGTCATTCCAGATCTTTTCAAGTGTGTTTCTGGAAATGGTCTGAACAATGGTTGGACCTGCTGCATGAATCCTAAGACGTTTGGAGGAACAAAGATTAGATCACCATGAGGTCTGTTACAAAGTGTTTCCGTTGACATACAACAATTATAACGTAGACATGACAAATGATTTATGCCACCACCGTGTACACACATTTCATTTACATTTCTACACAGAAATGTGAGGTTACGTGCAACAAAAGCTTAAATCCCATCATAGTTTTAACCCTCTGGAGGCAGGCGGTGCCGATTTGCAATGTCAACCCACCTGGTTACTCCACATACGTATTTCATGAGCATTTTTTAGCTCAGAAGTACCACTGAACTCAGTTGTTCATCCTTTTATCAAAACTTATTTTGAGCCTGAGAGTGTTAAAATAACTAACAAACAACAAAAGACAAAGTAACAGTTTCACTCTCTGGTAAGAAATAGTTGAGCTTATAACTGATTTAAAACATTTTATAATGTCCAAAACAAATCCTAGTTTTTAGCTCCTCTGTCTGAGAACAAACTGGTCTCTGATTCCCCAAACAGAGGCCATTCAGACAGCAAATCAAAGTAGATTCAGTATCAGTCAGTAACTATATTTTCACAGAAATCCTCTTCAAAATATGTGAACTTGCCTTTCAAGAGTGGCTGAATGTTGAATAAACAGAAGTTGTTGATTATATAAAAAGTAGCTTGTGGAGAAGTGGCAGAAAAAGCAACAATGCCTTATTTTATTTTTTATGACTTTGTTCCACGATGAGCATCGAAAACTTCTTCTTCTTCTTATTGGGAAAATGTGCATTACTAAATTCTTATAACATCGCCTTATTAAACTGACGGTTTTTATTTCCTTACATGATCTCCACGTACTGTACAAGCGCGCTGTATAGTTGTTGCCTCGCATCCAGCTTAACAACTTGTCTGCTGCCATAGCAACTGCGGAGGAGCACCGAGCAGCGCCGCCTGCTTGTGCAATGGATGTCACTCGTGGCAACGACCAATCAGAAGTTGCCATCCTTTTTGCACGAGTGGCTCGAAAATGGAGGGATGGAGTGGGTGGGTTTTCGGCGTCATGCCTCTGCCAGCAATAGGACGGACGGCTCGTCAGTCTTCGTCCTGCTCGGCGGTGATTGGTCAAGGAGCCGCTCTTCCAAGAATATAAACATGTCTGCTGCTCGCCTGCCTCGATCCGAGGTTCCCAGGCGGCTGTGCAGTTCTACATCAAACTGTATGAAAACTCACATTATGCATCTGCCCGAGCTGTTGCAGGGCTAAATCTTTGTTATTGCTGGGGAATATGCTCATAGCTGCACGTGCACGCGTAAGGAAACGAGGAGACCCCGCTGCCGCTGCTGGAGACAGAGAGGGACTGAGCCGCGCTTTCATCACTCTAATCACCATCCTGAGCTCTTAACATTTTGTTTTTCGGTGTTCAGGCGAGAAGTGACAAGACTGTAGACCCCTCCTCTGCAGGGCGGAGCGTGCATTTTCATTTTCTATTTTGTGTTTTATATTTTTTTATTTTTTTCTACCCCTGCCCTGTACCCAGCTCTGACACGTCTGCACTGAGTGAGTGGCATTGGCACACTGTCAATCGCTCACCAGCTCTGCCATCAAACAACATAAAACACGCAGGCAGAGGCTGGAGCTCATAAATTTCAGCAGGGCGAGATTTTTTTGCGCATCGCTTTTATTCAGCCTTGTATCCTAATTAATTTCGTCTCGCTGTTGCTGTATTTTCCATCCTCATCAGAAATCTCCCAACTTTTTTATACATTTCATATCTTTTATAGAAACGTTTGGACAGCTTACGTTACATATTTTTATTTTTATAAACATATTAAATAGTCGCGGAGAACATTTTAGCGTTATTGTTTAACGCCTGCAAGGCTGCGATGCTTTGAATTTATTGTTTTTATTATTTGTTTACACGTTTCCACGTTGGATATTTTTCCAGTGTTGCCGGCGCTTCGGTGGATTTGGACATTCTCTTTTTTTTCCAAGAGGAAATGCGCCGGAATCCCATGAAGAGCGCTAATAAATGAGACAGCGCGAGGACCGTTTCTAAACCGCTGAGAGAAAAGACAGATTGGTGTGGGGATGTGATGGACCGTCAATTCTGACGAAGAAGTTCTCAGAAGGAGAAGAAAGATTTATGCGTTTTTTTTAATAACCGCGGCTTTTGGTACTTTGGACCGCGCGTAAAAGCAGCAAGAGGACGGCGAGAACTTGGACGCCAGATTCACGCCAAAACACCCCAGCCGTAGCTGTCACTGACAGAAAAAAGAAGAGAAGAAGAATCGCGCGCGTGTGTGCGTGTTTGTTTTATTTCCCCGAGCACGCTCAGATATATTTTCTGTCTACGGCACATGCTATAGCCCAGTTTTTATATGAGTTTTTCAATTTGCGTGGCTCAGTGCACAGACTCTTTGGCGTCTACTATGGACGATCAAGCCCGGATCATGCAGTCGATCGGCGGTGTCAGTCTGGCTGGCCACTCGGTGCAGGGAGGCATGCAGCTGCCGCCTCCACATGGACACGACGGGACGGACGGAGACGGCAGGAAGCAAGACATCGGTGACATCCTGCACCAAATCATGACCATAACCGATCAGAGTCTGGACGAGGCGCAAGCAAAGTTGGTTGATTTATATGTTTCATGAAGTTCAAGCCACAGATCATCATTACTGACCTGAACTCTCCTATGCGTAACGACAGGCTGGATTGGCTATAATAATAATAATAATAATAATAATAATAATAATAATAATAATAATAATAATAATAATAATAATAATAATAATAATAATAATAAATGTATTGTAGCTTCACACAAAGTTGTCTCTAAAGGAGCAAATAACTTAAACTATTTTGATCCATGAAGGTGTTCAAAAAGTTTGTTTGCACACATATTTTTAAATGTTCTATATCCAGAAGTTAAAACACACCTCATGCCAACAGATTACAGCTAATGCCTCATTAACTGTCTCCATAGGTAATACTTAGAATATATGTACTTTTAAAATAGTACATTAGCAATATGTTATGATAAAGGTGTGTGAATAAAGGATGAAAACTATAGATATAAGTATGCAATCAGCTGCTAGCTGGCTTGTTGTGACTGATCAGTGAACTTATTTGAGTGTTATTTTTTTCTTATACTGAAACAGGAAACATGGACTGAACTGTCACAGAATGAAACCAGCACTCTTCAGCGTTCTCTGTGAAATCAAAGAAAAGACAG